TGTTGGGGAATGGGAGGTGGATCGTGACGAGACTCTCCCCCAGGTGGGGGGAGGTCGTACTGACACCACCATTTCACACATCACCATGCTCTACCCTGCTTACATACGTCGCCAGGTATGAAACTGATCAGCATGCACCAGCGTTTTCGGTCACATTTGTCCTGCCCTTGAACCAAAGCCAGTTTAAATGTAAATATATATTTGTGCGGTTCTGGCCTTGGCTTCATGCACTACAAAGTCCAGGATTTCGTAATCCTCCTTGTTCCTTACTCCAGTTCGCAATTTTCTGGAGAAATCATACAAAACACATTTTTCTAATATTTTTATCAGATAAGGCATTCAAGCATGATACATGTTCAATATGAAAGATTCGATACACATCGGGAAATCAATTTAAAACATTAAAACACGACTTCATCGCAATTCCACGTAGTTGGCAGGAAACAGACCGTACTGCCCATTACATACTCCTCTCCACCATCCGGCATCAATCTGAAGTCAAAAAGAAATTCTTAACCCAATCACGGATTGTTACACAAGCACTTCGCCTTGGAGACGCAATGAAGATGAGTGGAGAAAGTGGTTATGAATCGTAACCATTGTTCCTTCCTCATTGCCTTCAGCTCTCTCCCCAGCATTACGGAGAGGCCAATGTTGAATACACAGCGCTTACGAATTCTCCCCAATTTCCGCCAGTGAGTTATCGCGGACTTTTGAAGGTAGTGGGCACGATGGCAGGCGGGCGGTTACAGCCAACGTCATTGGTGGAAGGGCTGCGAGAGGGCTTTCGGCCACACCTCACTCAGCCCTTCCACCAATGACGCTCACACTAATCGCATCCCTCCCCTCCCCCCATCGTGCCCCCTGCCTCTAGGAGAAATCAAAAGGAATATATGAGAATGCCACCTGCTCGATATTCGTGATAATGTCATCCGGCTCAAAGCTGATCTCATCGTCGTCATTCTTCTGGTAGTCGTAAATGGCGATGGCTGTAAGGCCGAGGGCAGGATCCAATGGGTGAGCGGGTCCTTTCAGCGGATCTCCACGTGAATCACTTATGTCAGTGGTACCACTAGGAACCTGAATAAACAACCCAATCATATAAAATTTGAATACATACCCCATGTTCTGCGTATAAATAATAAGATTTTGATATGATTTTTTTATAGTGCCTTAATGACTATACTCATTTATACACTTTCTCCTTCTAAGTTTTAGTGGGGGGGGGGGTGTGACGTTAAGGCGTCGCCTTCGCCTAGAACCTTGCCAATGCTACCTACCCACAAATGCATTTCTTTTTCATTTTTTCAAAAATATGTTGGTTTTATAAGCATCTTGTTCCATGAGCTGAAACTTCTCAACGTTTTATCAGCAAGTTTAATCTCCTTGATTTTTTTCGTTTTTTTTTTCGTTTTTCAAGATGTTTTACATTATGAAAAGACGTTTTTTCATGTCTTCTTTGTGAATGATAAAATGAAACTCGTCCAGTCGTTTATTGCATAGACGACGTTTCGGGCTTTAAGCCCTTCTTCAGGTCTACAATCATCACATTCAAAGCCTACACCAACATCATCTAACTTTACAAACACAGGCAAGGAATTCAAAGGGGAAAACAATCAACAATTACTGACCGGATTCCTGTGGGAGGGAGGGTCGGTCGGGGCGGGTGGGAGATCCGGGAATATGCTGCAAGATGGTCTCTGATGTTGTGACAAACAGTAATACGCAACAATGACTCACCGTCCCAGCTGTCC